GAGATCAACAATGCCAACACCTTGATCACAGATTTCTAACCTCCAGAACTGTAAGGAGAATTATGTTAAGCCACCCAGTCTGTGGCACTTTGTTATGACAGGCCTAGCAAACTAATATACTGCCCAAGCTCAAAATGTTCCTTCTCATGGCACACCTTCTTAATTGCCCCTCACTCACTTGAGCCTGGTTATTATATGCGTAAACTTTTTTAGTATCAAGTCAGTCTTGCAGAAAGTGTTTTCTGGTTTATAAAATGTGTGAGTCCAATGGATCAGAAAATCGATAGGCAAAGTTACCTTATGGTGACATACTGGCTTCCAGCTATAATATTGATTAGGATTCAGGACACCTGGGTAGGGTAATATTAGATCTCTTCTGTACAAGTGAAGCCAAGGAAGCAGAAACTTTACAATAAAATTTAGGATAACATCAAGTAAATTGTTTATTTTTGGATAATTTTGAGATATTTTAGTACAAAACATCTTAAATTTCATTATGTACAACCAGCAATAGTGTCAATATCACGTCCACTTATTACCACAGCGGCAAGGTCTTAAATCTCTTAAGTTATATCTTGAAACATAAAGTACATTCTTGTGAAAAAATTTTCCAAGATCAATGAAATTTACAAAGCATTGTATTTATTTGTTTATGCTCTTTGTGTTGGCACCTGATAAAGGAGCTATGATATTACTAATCCCCCAGGATTCTCTGTCTTTTCTCTCTCCTCTCCTTTACCCCTCCCTACCCCATCTCTCTTGCCGGTGATTTCCTCCTTCAGCTCCTAGCACTTGGGCTAAGAGCTCTCAGAAAGGCTATGCATTGCTGTCTGTTCTAATTGCTCTTCTTGAATCTTGATTCGTTTTCTTTCCATGTGTGATTCTACTGCTGAGCCAACCCTTTTATCTGTATGTCTGGTGTCTAAACTCATCAAGAACAGTGACTTGATTGTTCATTAAGAACCATCCAACCTGAGGGGGGCCCTTTGGGTAGAGTCTTTGATTCTCCCCATAAGCCAGTGGTCTAGACCATTGTTAATCAAAGTGTAGTCTGGTCTCACCTGGAAGCATGTTAGAAATGTGGAATCTCACACCCCAACCCAGAGCTACTGAGTCAGAATTTGTATGTTAAAAAGGTCCCCAGTGATTCACATGCACAGTAATGTTTGAGAAGCACAGATCTAATTGCTGCTTACTTGATCATCATGGCAGAATCCCAGTTGGTACATATACTTTTCAAAGTTTGGGAAGCATTGATTTAGTTGTCCTTTGTCATATCATCATGGCCAGGCTTCAGAGTCATGTGACACAGACATAGCAATATCTGTATAAGGAACTGTGTGAATCCACCTTTCTCGAAAAGTGACGGTAAAACTGGTAGGCATTTGAAGCTTTGTAGCCAATGGATTTAGACATAGTTCAGAATTGAATAATGTAAAGAAGGAATACCATGGACAGCGCTCCAGCACTCGTACTTGGTGTGAAAAACATTGTATGTAGGTGGTTAAAATCTCAAAGGGCTGCTAGTGTGTGGCACAGTGGGTTTGAATTCTGCCACTATCATTCTCTAGCTCTGGGAAGTGACCTTTACCTCTCTGAGCCTCAGTCACCTCATTTATAAAGTAAGGATGGCAATACTCATGTAATGTTTCGAAAAGTTACTGAAAAAAAAAATATCACTAGGCAGGCAGGCATTCAAAATATATTAGTCCCTTCCCTTTTTTGTCTTGTAACACCTCTGTTAAAATTAGTAAACCAAAATCCTTGAGAAAGAAAAATAACAGATGCCTCTAGCTTGTAGCTAATGTCCATGGTCATGACACCAAAGCCATCAGAATTGGTGGTGGCAGTGGGAGAGGTGGAGTAAATTGCCCTCTCTGGATCCCAAGTTCTTCGTTCCATTTCACTAGCTGAAAGACCCCAGGGAGGGGACTTGGATGGCAGACATGCTCAGCTCCCTATACTTCATCCTGCAGGGCAGGGTCCTATACAGAGACTGTGTAAGAATCCAGGGGGTTGAACCTGGGATCTGGCTCCACATGGGATTCATTCTGAGAAGCCTTTCTTTGAAGAGTCTCCTTAGCTCCTCTGCTAAGCCAGTTCTGTTCAGTTCCCCTCTGGCTGTTAATTAACCACCACCACTCTTCTGGAGCTCAGTCTGCCCCTCAGCCGCAGTCTTACTTCTCTCTGTGGCTGCATTGCACTCCTTCATGCAGCAGCCTTTCCAGGTAGGGATGTCTGATCTTGAATGAAGACCTGGCTGAGGCTTGCATTGCTGCTTTGCAGTCACAGCTGTAGCTGTTTTCCTTGTTTCTCAAAGCTTTGTTTTGACATTCTCGTATCAAACTTTTGCTCAACTCTTAGGTCTATTGACTCCTCAAAGACTATTCTGCCCCCTTTTCACCTTTATACAGACCTGAGTTCTAATAATCTTTCTTCCATACCATGGGTCTAAAAACTAAACATTAATCTACATCAGATTAAGATTATATTTTAGCTTCTCTCATGGGATTTTATTTTACCTACACCTGCATCTTATAGGCGTTCACTTTAGGGTGTCTCTGAAAATTTGAACCAAAGACTAGATAATGCTCAGTGATTATCTGATACTCCCAGGAAACAGCAGTGGACCACCGACCTCCATGAGTGGGACAGGTCTGCCTGCCAGAGCACTTAGGAGCGTGAAATGCGGTCAGTGGCTTTCTGGGATCAAAAATTAACCTTCATCTCATTTTTAATTTGTTTTCTGGGCACAGGAGGTGCCACTATGGAATCTCTCTTTGCCTTTTATACTCTTCCACTCAAGATGATTTATGCTCATCCCTATGGCTGGACCTACACACTCATGCAAATAATTCAGTTACCAAATATCAATCTGATATTCTTTAAATATTGGCTCAACACTTTATAAGAGCAAAAGGCTGAGCGTGATGTGGGAAGGACGTAGAAGAAGAATGGAGAACCACTGGTGCCAGTGCTCTTTGTCCCCTCTCAGCACAGAACATTTCTGTTCTGATCCCAAACTTGCCCATTATGTCTTGTATGGACAAGGCCCTGGAGTCTTCTGGTCCTCTCCCTGGAAGGCAGTCTGGTGACCACCTCTGTCTTTCTAGCAGGCCCTTGAGTTCCACTCTTTGCCACCTGCTTATAGAAGCTTTGCTTACAATCGCACACTGCTTCTTCCAGAGAGGTCACACATACAAACATATACAATCGTGTTGGAACCCCTTACTGCTGGTGTTCGGGCATCAGCCTGGCTATTCCCTCCATTCATCATGTGGGCTGGCAGCAAGCTCAGATATTAACAATATGACTACATTCACTGTGTGTTATAAGGGTTGGTGTGGTAGGGGAAGTAGAAAGGAAAGGTGAGTCCCTCTTCACCTAAATTTCTGCTCCCCCATGCAAAAGCCTGGAGGGTTCCTAAATCCATCCTTTCACCTTAAGGGTGATAAATCCCCTACTTGAATTTTTTTCAGTTCTTCCAATTTTATCCATGCTCTTGCTAAAATCTGTGTGTACCTTATAAACTTCCATGGAATGCAGTCTTATTTTTGAACTTACAAACTTAAAAAAAAAAATGAAGTTAAAGGGAAAAAAACTGAACACATACACACAGTTTGACATATTTTCTGCATCGAAAAGGAGAAGAAAAACAAAACACCTCACATCAGCGAGTTCCTTGTTAATGATTTCAAAGGGGAAAGACTTGAGCTGGGTTTGTCAGAGGGAAAATCTCTCTTGGGTACATTTTTGTCACACCAGACATCTCTTCTTCGTAAGCACCTGGCCACGACCTGAGTAATTGTGCAATGTAATGAGAGTGTTTTTATAAGTTATGCAAACACAGTGCTTTGCTGATGGCCAGAACCACCTAATTCCTGACCTTGATCCGGGTCCTGGTTGCAGCCCCGCCGGGGGGCGTTTCCTGCCGGCAGCTCCGCGCGGCCCCAGGTGAGTCCTGCGCACTCTCCCCTCTCGGGCCTGCGGGAGGGGCTGGAGCGAAGGCGGAGGGCGGGCGGCGGGTTGGGGGGACCCAGATCCGGGCCCTGACTGCAGTTTCCTCCCGGCGGAGGCGCATTTTT